AAAAAAAAACACTGGGATTCCATACAGCAAAAGCATTATCAGTTTCGTGATGAAATTTAAAAGAAGTGATAAATGGAACTGCAAATAAGAAACATAGATAGTAGTACATTGTAGTCCAGGACATAAGTCTTCAAAGATTAACATTTTCTGAATACCTCAGGACAAAAATCTTGATCCACATTGTTCAACAGCTGTCTTGAAATAGACAAATTGAGATGATTAGCGCTTAACACAACTAGGTGATTTACAATATCTGGGTTTTTCATATCATTCCGAGTCGAACATGGATAGAAGCGGCTGCTCAATGTTGATGACTTCACACAAATTTTGGCCACAAAAATAGTCCAATGACCCATCAACAATGACAGAAGTCCAAACAACATTAGCTCTGGTTGGACCAAACAACAGAATCTCATAAGTCAGTCAAAAACTCCAAATTAATCAAAACATTAGGAAAAGAATAAAACCAATAGAGACCACCTCTTCATATATACCTTCCTTGATCTTCTCTAATACAGCAAGAAGATGTTTCCTTCTAGTCCTCTCTACCCACTGCCAGCACAGATAATATATTAGAAAGTTTTCAAGATTCAAGAACCCCAAGTACCTGCGGAAACCTATATGAAACTAACTTCAAATCTAGTTGTGTCCAATACTACGTACCATCAAACCTTATGCCATAAGAGATATGCAAAGAAAAGGGTATTTTTTTTAACCTTTCCAAACTTCTTCAGAGAAGCATTAATCAAAAACCCAATGCCCACAAGAAGAGTGATTACAGTGGCAACAGCCCATGTGGGTGTTTCAGCAAGGGATCTTCCTTCTTTTATCTCCATTGCAGTTCCAACTGAATGAGGCCTACTCAGAAATAGAAACTCTCTAGGAGCTCAAAGTCCTTTATGGAGGCCAGCAAGTCCAAGTAATGTTTGATTTGGTTTGGTACGAGAAAAACAGAGAGTCAAAGAGATCATAATGTCTATAAAAGCAGTTAGCCTCTGCCTGCCCTCCTTTTTAAAATCAT